ATGTGGAGCCGCATGAGGTAGTCACTAGCACCGGGAGGGGGGGGGGGTTGTTAAGGGAGTGGCGGACTGGGGCACTGAAACTTTTATAAAGTACGGTACTGGATTGTTGCCGTTGACGCGGCAAAGAGTATCTATCGGTCGTGGGTAACGTCATGCCAATATACTGTACACCAAAGACTTTACTTTAAAAACTGATTAGTAGCAAAACGACGTTCTCGCCGCGACCGAAGACCAACATAGGCCGGACGTGCCCAAGCTTGAGAACAGCCACGCGGACACACAGCAACACAACAACATAACACAGTACCTCTAGCCAAATCGCACCGGCTCTAAAACGAAAACGCGGCACGCAAACACAGACAAACGCACACAGACAAGCAAGCAAAACATTCGGGGGCTCATCTCCCCGAGGAGTCGATGCATGTCTTCCACGAAAGCAGGATCAAAACGAGTGCCAAAAAGATGGTGTACACGGACATGGGGATGAAGAACTCGCGGTATCTCCTGAGGACAAATCTCCGACATCCCGCGATGCCCGGTGGCTGCTGCTGCTGCGGGGGCTGCTGCTGCGGGGGCTGCTGCTGCGGTGGTACGGGAGCGGTGCCGGCCTGGCGGGCCACATGTGAGTCTCTGTGGAGTTGGAAGGATGCGTCGAGTGGGCGCACGGGGGCAGTGGTGGGGGCAGCGGTGGGGACAGTGGTGGGGACAGTGGTGGTGGGCTCGCTCCAGCATTTGGGGCAGACGCGAATCTGGGGCTCGGTGCAGGCGCCGAAGAAGCCGTTGACGGACGGACGGCAGGCGATGCACGAGTTGTCCTCCCAGCCCTCGCATTTGTACTTGCGCTGGATGCGGCACGCGTCCTCGACGGTATTATCATCCTCGACGGTGTTCTCCCAGCCCTCGCGGATGATGGTGGAGATGAACTCCGGGCCGTTGGAGGCGAAGAACAGGGCGTTGAAGGTCATGAGGACGAGGATGATGAAGGCGATACTGGCGAGAAAGACGGTGGTGAGGCGGTTGATGCGGGCGACTGCGCCGGCTCTGGTAGTGGCGGCGAGCGAGGCGAAGACGAGGACGAGGAGCAGGAGGAGCGAGACGATGACGCAAGCGGTGCCGTACGAGATGGTGCGGGTCCAGCGGCGGGAGCCGGAGAGGTTGAGGCCGACGGGCCAGCCGTCGCGCGCGGCGAGGAGCCAGACGCCGATGATGAAGAGGATGATGACGGTGAGGGCGAGAATGACGAGCAGGGCGCACATGACCGGGTCCGCCGCCAGGCCCGGGCCGAGCGAGGACGAGGGGTGGCGGCCGGACTCCGGGTCCTTGGAGCGCGAGTGCGAGGTGGTGGGCGAGCGGACGGTGGTGGGGTGCGTGCGGTGCGACGTGTGGGTCTTCGATTTGGACCGCGAGCGCTTGGAGTGGGCGGCGCGGCACGCCGCCGCGGACTCCTCGGACGAGTGGACGCGGTGGCACACCGTGCACGGCGGGCGCGGGCGCGACGACGCGGACTTCTTGGTCGAGGACTTCTTCGTGGTGGTCTTCTTGGAG